CAAAGAGCACCCAAAGCAAAAGCAGGGCACAAAGCCCACACTGTGCAAATGCGCCCCCACCAGCCCTCCAAAAATAAAGCCCCTCCATGAAAGTGCACACCCATGAAAAGAAGACCCACAGCATCCAGGTCCAAGAACATGCCCACCACCCATACCCCTGCCAGAAGTAGCCCTGCGACAAAACCCACACCGAAGCCCACAAAGGTCAGAGAGCCAACAGAGCCCAAACGAAAACTCACAGAGAAGCCAACACCAGTCCACCCCGGCCAGCCTGCCTGCCCAAACCCTGCAGACCCCTCCGAACCTCCTCCCCCAGACAGTACTGAGACTGGCGTCAGGAACCGGAACCCAGACAAGGAACCAGAACGTGAACAGGAACCACACAGGCCCAAATGATGCCTATCCCCACCCAACACCAACCACCTACCTCCACCCCAGAAGAAAATCTACACCCACCCCAAACATTCAAACAACTCCCAGAACACATAAGACCTTAGACACCCAGGTGGACTCAGCCCCATCCCCCACAGACCCTCCGCCCGGCCAGCAGAATGCACTCCTTCAAGGAAAGAGTACCTGCAAAGAGATGGTACCTACCCACCAGTTTAGGACGACCCTAAGCCTTCTGATGCACGGAAGGCCCCTGGGCCGGTACGGGTGCCAAAAGCCTGGCGACATACCCGCCTGAACCCAAGTGCCCCAGGCCCAGCCAGGACCCCACCCAGGGGCGACATGCCTCAGGAACCCAGAGCCCCCAAGTCCACCCCAGACCTGCTCAGGAGCAGCACGGCCACCAGGGCAGTAACCTATGTCCGCCGGCACAGGTTCCCAAAAGCATCGCAGGCAACCACCAGATGTTGCCCCCGAAAGCCACCAAAGCCCCACTCCAGTTGGGGCCACAGCCCCCGGCGCCAGACCCCCCAGTGACCCCAGCCCGGGACACCCGAAATGCCCCAAACCCATACACCCCCCCGCATCCGCCAAATCGCCCCACAGGATGAAGCCAAAGGTACCCATCCCCACTAGGTGATGGAGCCAATTAAAGGAGCCCAGAGAAATTGATCTGATGTGGAGGCAGAGGCTGTCTAAAGATTTATATTTTGAGAAGTTTTACCAGTGTGCCAAATTTCAGATCTCTACGACTTACGGTGTGGTCTATCTTAAGTCTGGGGCCAAACCTTTTAGCCATGCCCATGGATGGCGACAATAAAGGACAAAAATTTCACGCAGGGTAAAATTTTGGGTAAATCCGTGTGCATCTAGGGATATGGCAAAGCCCCCAAAAAGCCCCAAATTTTCCATTTACCTGTCCACCCTGAGCCTCAGTCGCCTCAGATTGAATGATTCTTCTCTTAGTGCTGGTAAACCAAGTAAGATCGGATCCAATACTTGCCTGTTGTCAACGTACCTCACTTTAAACAATCTCTGCTCCTCCCATCCTCGGATTGTTCTCTGGACAATTTTTGTCTTCTTATGGACATTTTTCAGTACCATTTGTACAATAAACCACAATATATTTTACTCAAAGATTCTCAGTGCTTTTCAATCATTACAATCACAGGAAGAACAGGCAAGCTCAAAGGAGCAAGCCAAGATTTAATTTTGAAATATTTGAACTAGCCTTCAGTGTTATTGTGTAACAATAGTGTGAGCTGCCCTCATGAATATTTGGTGAAACTATAAACCATTGGGATTCTCTAAAGGAGCTGAGTCTGTCATTGAGCATAGGTATTTCTGGGTTTTCCCACTCAACTTGTTACCCCCGTGACCCAATCTCGGATAAGTGTAAGATAATGGATGGATGGAAGTTTGGTATGACAAAGCAGAACTGCATTATGGTCAGATACTTCATTAGATTAGTCATTAGATATCTCCTAAAGCATACAGTCTGATATTTGAAATATTAATAGAAACTAGTATTTATGGTGCTTCGTTTACTACTGATGTCCTCTTACTACATTTTGTGTGACCAAAGATTGTGCTTCAAGCCTAGGATCACAGGTGTTTCCTTTAATTGATTTTCCTCTTCCACAGTAAAGTGAAAATAATAATTCCATGCAGGCCACTATGATCTGCCTAATGTGCTGCTCTATCTCTGACTTTAAAGCTCGTCCATAAATCCAGCAGGAAGTGTGGGATAGCAGTGGGTCTAAACCAGAAGGAGAAGGGAGGGACCTCTTCTTTACTCAAAGGTTAAACTGTGATGAGAGACTTAACCTAAATACAATAACCAAGGCAGTCTCAGTGATCCGAACACAAGGATGCAGAGGGTTAAAGCAGTAATTACTTCTGCCTTTCATTAGAGATTGATAGTCTGGAACCCTGAGGTTACTTTAACACTAAGTTTAAATTACACAATAGTAGTGTATTTTCTGTAATGCTGTAATGCAGTGCTCCTTTATCTTCTCTATGCTACTTGTATCCATAAAAGTGTTGGAGAATTACTCACGTTTAGTTACATTTATTCACGTAGCTAATTTCCCTATAGAACCAGTGAAAATACTTGTTTTGCATACTGTATAACATTAAAATGGTAACACATATAACAACATATATTGTGTGTAATAACTAATCAACGAAGGAAAGTAATTAAATCAAAAACATATGAATGTCGGATTCATTGCCTTCAGTATTTCAGAAATTGTAAAAAGTAAATAAATAAATAAATAAATAATTGAGTGTAAAAATGAAAAGATTTTTATTCCTAAAAATTCATACACATTTTGAACAAATATGAAACTTCTATGAAACACTCAGACAATCTTAAAATATGTGCATACTGTATTTTTGAAGGATGTGATCTGTTGCCCAACAGATATCAGTGTCTATGTGTTTTCAACTGTTTTTTTTTTGCCACTGAATGTCTTTCCAGGGTCTTTGCAACTAAAGGAAAGTGCTGAAATCTTAGGTTCCTAATTTGCCTGATGTAAAAACACAGTTTTGCTCTGAATGCCTTTATAACACTGATCATGTTGCATTTATTTTGCCTCTACCTCATAACTGCTGGTTCCAACTGAAGGAGACAGCAAACGACAACCTCGTTTGTGTGTTTACACACGAACGAGGTTGTCTTTTGCTGTAAGTCAGTGCTACGGCTGACTGACAGTGACCAGCAGAGATCAGAAAAACTTGTGACCTAACTCAGCACCTTCTAGTTGGAAACGTCTTGTACCAACTAGTACCGCATAATTCAAATCTCCCTGTTTGTCTCTCACATCTAACAGAGAGATGTGCAGTGCAGTGGCTCTAGCTCATCATGTCATTCCTCTGCAGAACATTACCTGTCAATCACTGTTGCCTTAAGCAACATTTAAAAAGTCCACAATACCAATGAAGATGAAGCAGCGAAAGCAAACTATGAAATGTAAAGGTGGCGCTGAAAAGTTGAGAGATAAAAAAAAAAGCTCTAGGAAAGCACAGCAACGCATTTGAAAACTTCTGACTTGTACTAACGATGTACTAAAGCCAGATGTACTAAAGATGCTGGGGAGCGATACAATTTTAAAATAGAATAGAATAGAAATATCCTTTGTTGTCCCACAGTGGGTAAGTTCAGCAAAAAAGGTAAAATGGAATCATGAACACATCACTTAAAAGCATCACAGTAAAAAACTTTTTATAAGACTAAAAATGATAAAAATCAGAATCAAGAACAGGAAACAAAAGTCAGGATAGACTGCACACTAAAGGACAACCCCATATCACAAAAAATAAATTACTGTGCACATACCATTATGGCATACTCAGAATAAATTAAATAAGTTGTGCAACATAGATGGTATAGCATAAAAGAGTCAGTTGCTGCAGGGGTCATTTTCTAAGGTTTAAGTTAAGTTTGGTTTAAAAGGTATTTTGTTGAAAGGCAAGAAGCTATGCGGCTTTGTTAAAGTTTACCTTATAGACTAAATATGTAAATACCTATATTGTTGCTGTAAATTAAATGCGCCATCTGAGAATATAAATAGCTGTTGCTGATTATGAGTGCATTTCAGGGTTTAAAGGTGAATAAAGGCAAGTTTTTCTTCATGTCTAAATCTTTTCCATTCAAATACAGCTCCTTGTGAATTACGCTTGTACAGGTAACTGAATTTCAACCTGCAATTTAATATCAAAGGGCCACCATGGTTATAATTCCCGATAACCTGTGCTTGGACTTGTAGAATTATATTGATTTTGGGTCAAAACCTTGACCAGCACAACATGAGAAGATTCGAAAAATATAAATTGCTAATTGGTTACATGTCAGCACTGAGGTAAAATGTCTCCAGAAAAGTTCTGTGCTTTTTTTTTTCATGGCTCTAAAAAAATGCTTTTCAAGGCCAGTTAGCTCAGTTGGTCAGAGCATGGTGCTAATAACGCCAAGGTCATGGGTTCAATCCCCGTACTGGCCAGTCACAAATATTGTTGTTTGACAGGAAAGTGACAAACTATACAACATTAACACACAAGCTAGTTGCTGGCTAAGAGTGCCTGTCAGGGTTAAAGTGATTCAAACACTTCATCTTCAGGTGAAATTTTGTCTTTATTTGTGACTCAATAATTGAAGCAATTTACAAAAGTTTTCAGCATATTCTGTCCTAAAACTGGTAGTGTAGCGCAGAACAAAATAAATAAATAACACTGCATTAAGCTTTCCATTTCAATCCATTCATAAAGGTGAATAAAGGCAAGTTTTTCTTGTATTTTCATCACGTCTAAATCTTTTCCATTCAAATACAGCTCCTTGTGAATTACGCTTGTACAGGTAACTGAATTTCAAACCTGCAATTTTAATATCAAAAGGGGGCACCATGGTGTTATAATTCCCGATAACCTGTGCTTGGACTTGTAGAATTATATTGAATTTTGGGTCAAAAAACCTTTGACCAGCACAACATGAGTAGATTTGGTAAAAAATTTTAAATTGCTAATTGGTTACATGTCAACGGGGGGGTAAAATGTCTCCAGAAAAAGTTCTGTGTTTTTTTTTTTTCCATGGCTCTAAAAAAAATGCTTTAAAGGGCCCGGGTTTAGCTCAGTTGGGGTCAGAGCGTGGTGCTAATAACCCAAGGTCGTTGGGGTTAAATCCCCATACTGGCCAGTCACAAAATATTGTTGTTTGACAGGAAATGACAAACTATACAAGATTAAAAACAAGCTAGTTGCTGGCTAAGAGTGCTTGTCAGGGTTTAAAAAAGTGGTTCAAACACTTCATCTTCAGGTGAAATTTTGTTTTTTTGTGACCCCAAAAATTTAAAGCAATTTTAAAAAAATTTTTTCAGCATATTTTTCCCCAAAAAACTGGTAGTGTAGCGCAGAACAAAAAAAATTAACACGGGCATTAAGCTTTCCATTTCAATCCAACCATAAAGGGTTAAAAAAAAGGCAAGTTTTTTCTTGTATTTTAACCACGTCTAAAATTTTTTTCCATTCAAAACCAGCTCCTTGTGAATTACGCTTGTACAGGAAACTGAATTTCAACCTGCAATTTAATATCAAAAGGGCCCCATTGTGATAAATTCCCCCCGAAAAACCTGTGCTTGGACTTGTAGAATTTATTTTGAGTTTTTTGTGTCAAAAAACCTTTGACCCAAAAAAGCACAACATGAGTAGATTTTGTAAAAAAAAAATTGCTAATTGGTTACATGTCAGCACTGAGGTAAAATGTCTCCCAAAAAAATTTTCTGTGTTTTTTTTTTTCAGGCCTCTAAAAAAAAAAACCCCTTTCCCAAGGGCCGTTTTTTAGCTCAGTTGGTCAGAGCGTTGGTGCTAATAACGCCAAGGTCGTGGGGGGTTTAAACCCCCTACTGGCCCAGTCACAAAATTGTTTTTTTTGACAGGAAAAAAACTGACAAAAACAATACAAGATTAACACACAAGCTAGTTGCTGGCTAAGAGTGCTTGTCAGGGTAAATTTGGTTTAAAACACTTCATCTTTTCAGGTGAAATTTTTTGTCTTTTATTTGTGACTCAAAAACCTGAAAGCAATTTTAAAAAGTTTTTAGCATATTCTATTCCAAAAACTGGTAGTGTAGCGCAGAACAAAAAAAAAAATAAAACTGCATTAAGCTTTCCATTTCAATCCAACCATAAAGGTAAATAAAGAAAGTTTTTTTTTTGTATTTTAACCACGTCTAAAATTTTTTCCTTAAAAATACAGCTCCTTGTGAATTACGCTTGTACAGGTAACTGAATTTTTCCAAACCTGCAATTTAATATCAAAGGGCCCCCATGGTTGATAAATCCCGAAAAACCTGTGCTTGGACTTGTAGAATTATATTGATTTTGTGTCAAAAACCCTTTTGACCAGCACAACATGGTTAGATTTTTTTAAAAAAAAAAATTGCTAATTGGTTACATGTCAGCACTGAGGTAAAATGTCTCCAGAAAAGTTCTGTGCTTTTTTTTTTCATGGCTCTAAGAAAATGCTGCGCAAGGCCGTTAGCTCAGTTGGTCAGAGCGTGGTGCTAATAACGCCAAGGTCGTGGGTTCAATCCCCATACTGGCCAAAAAAAAAAAAAAAAAAAAAAAAAAAAAAAAAAAAAAAAAAAAAAAAAAAAAAAAAAAAAAAAAAAAAAAAAAAAAAAAAAAAAAAAAAAAAAAAAAAAAAAAAAAAAAAAAAAAAAAAAAAAAAAAAAAAAAAAAAAAAAAAAAAAAAAAAAAAAAAAAAAAAAAAAAAAAAAAAAAAAAATCACAATTGTTTTTGGGAATAAAAAAAGTTAACCAAGCTAGTTGCTGGCTAAGAGTGCTTGTCAGGTAAAGTGGTTCAAACACTTCATCTTCAGGTGAAATTTTGTCTTTATTTGTGACTCAATAACTGAAGCAATTAAAGTTTAGCATTCTTCAAAATGGTTGTACCAAAAAAAAAATCAAATTTCATTCATCCAACATGTATAAGCAAGCATTTAAAAGTCTAACTTTCCATTAAAACACCTTAAGGTAAAAAGAATTTCCTATTTATATCAAACCAAATTTAAACCTAATTCTTGGACGTGAATTAATGATTTTAAAACCGGGAAAACGAAAATTGTAAATATAAATCTTTGTCTTCACTATAAATCTCCGAAATTGTGTTTTTTAGTTAAAATGTGCAGGCCTAGTATTTGAAGTGTGTTTCCAGGCGGGAAATCCTCTGCCAGCCCCAAATTGTTGCGAACGCAACAATTTAACCCATTTCTGCAAAGTCAAAATGGTTCAAAACTTAAAACTCAGTAAAGTTTTATTTCTAAACATGAGTTTAAAGTTTACTTATTTTAAAGGTATTGAAAAAAAAATAAGCATTAAGTTTTTCCAAAAACCAAGTAATTTGCAAGTTTTTTTTAAATCAATTTTTCCTTCAATCACCTGTATTAGCGACAGTACAATTTAACGCATTAATTCAACCACAAGGTAAATCTTTTTGGGCTTAATTAATATTTTTTCAAACCTTGGAAACGGTAATTGTAAATTAATGCAATTTTACAGTCACATGGGTAAATTTCCAAAATTTTTGGCTTTTTTTTTGTCAAAACATGCGGGCAACCTTAGTAGTTTAAAATGTGTAAACCAATGGTTAATCCCCCCCAAGTCTTTTTTTCAGAAAGGCCTACGTTAAACCCGGTAGGGCTAAAGGCGGTGTGTTCAACCTTACCCTAAATTTGTTTTAGGACTAAAATTCAAAAAAGTTTCGCAATTTTCCAAAGTGTTCCAACAAATAAAATACCAATTGCTTTATTTACCATAAGGTAAAAAATTTTTGATTTCAACCTAAATTTTTAACAGCCCTGAAAACTGTAGTCTATTTAACCTTTAATATCAAGGCAATTTAATTCCCCTCTACTTAATTAATATTTTTAAACTTGCCCGAACAATATGATTTAAAAAAGCATTGTTAACAACTGGTAAATGTAAAAGTTTGGCTTTTTTTCCCAAGGGGGGGGGGGGGGGGGGCCCCCCCCCCCCCCCTTTCCAAAATTTTTTGGTTAAAGAAAAAAAACCCCCCCAAGGAAAAAAGGGTTTTTTGGGGCCAAATTTTAAAAAAAAATTTTAAAATTTTTTTTCAAATTTTGTTTAGGGTCAAAAAATTAAAATTTAAAAATTTTTTTTTTTATCTAAAAGGTTTAAAGGCAAAAAATACCCAAATTTTTTTTTTTTAAACTTAAAAAAAAAATTTTTTCGTTTTTTAAAAATTAAATTTTAAACAAAAAAAAAATTTTTTCCCTTTAAGTTTTTTTTTTAATTTTTAAATTAAACCCAAAAATTTTGTTTTTTGAAAATTTTTTAAAAATTTAAAATTTTTTGAAAATTTGGGCTTTTTTAAATGATTTAAAAAAAGGGCAAGGGTTTTTCCCCTAATTTGTTTTAAAAAGTTTTTTTTTTTTCCTTTTAAAAAAAATTTGGGGTTTTAAAAAAGGGGAATTTTAAAAAAGGTGGGGGGAAGTTGATCACGTCTAAATTTTTCCATTCAAATACAGCTCCTTGTGAATGTACAGGTAACTGAATTTCAACCTGCAAATCAAAGGGCCACCATGGTGATAAATCCCGATAACCTGTGCTTGGACTTGTAGAATTATATTGATTTTGTGTCAAAACCTTGACCAGCACAACATGAGTAGATTTGTAAAATATAAATTGCTAATTGGTTACATGTCAGCACTGAGGTAAAATGTCTCCAGAAAAGTTCTGTGCTGCTTTTTTTTTTCATGGCTCTAAAAAATGCTGCGCAAGGCCGGTTAGCTCAGTTGGTCAGAGCGTGGTGCTAATAACGCCAAGGTCGTGGGTTCAATCCCCATACTGGCCAGTCACAAACATTGTTGTTTGACAGGAAACTGACAAACAATACAAGATTAACACACAAGCTAGTTGCTGCTGGCTAAGAGTGCTTGTCAGGGTTAAAGTGGTTCAAACACTTCATCTTCAGGTGAAATTTTGTCTTTATTTGTGACTCAATAACATGAAGCAATTAAAGTGGTTCAAACACTTCATCTTCAGGTGAAATTTTGTCTTTATTTGTGACTCAATAACATGAAGCAATTTACAAAAGTTTTCAGCATATTCTATCCTAAAACTGGTAGTGTAGCGCAGAACAAAATGAAAAAATAAAGCTGCATTAAGCTTTCCATTTCAATCCAACCATAAAGGTAAATAAAGGCAAGTTTTTCTTGTATTTTCATCACGTCTAAATCTTTTCATTCAAATACAGCTCCTTGTGAATTACGCTTGTACAGGTAACTGAATTTCAACCTGCAATTTAATATCAAAGGGCCACCATGGTGATAAATCCCGATAACCTGTGCTTGGACTTGTAGAATTATATTGATTTTGTGTCAAAACCTTGACCAGCACAACATGAGTAGATTTGTAAAATATAAATTGCTAATTGGTTACATGTCAGCACTGAGGTAAAATGTCTCCAGAAAAGTTCTGTGCTTTTTTTTTTTTCATGGCTCTAAAAAATGCTGCGCAAGGCCGGTTAGCTCAGTTGGTCAGAGCGTGGTGCTAATAACGCCAAGGTCGTGGTTCAAATCCCCATACTGGCCAGTCACAAACATTGTTGTTTGACAGGAAACTGACAAACAATACAAGATTAACACACAAGCTAGTTGCTGGCTAAGAGTGCTTGTCAGGGTTAAAGTGGTTCAAACACTTCATCTTCAGGTGAAATTTTGTCTTTATTTGTGACTCAATAACTTGAAGCAATTTACAAAAGTTTTCAGCATATTCTATCCTAAAACTGGTAGTGTAGCGCAGAACAAAATGAAAAAATAAAGCTGCATTAAGCTTTCCATTTCAATCCAACCATAAAGGTAAATAAAGGCAAGTTTTTCTTGTATTTTCATCACGTCTAAATCTTTTCCATTCAAATACAGCTCCTTGTGAATTACGCTTGTACAGGTAACTGAATTTCAACCTGCAATTTAATATCAAAGGGCCACCATGGTGATAAATCCCGATAACCTGTGCTTGGACTTGTAGAATTATATTGATTTTGTGTCAAAACCTTGACCAGCACAACATGAGTAGATTTGTAAAATATAAATTGCTAATTGGTTACATGTCAGCACTGAGGTAAAATGTCTCCAGAAAAGTTCTGTGCTTTTTTTTTTCATGGCTCTAAAAAATGCTGCGCAAGGCCGGTTAGCTCAGTTGGTCAGAGCGTGGTGCTAATAACGCCAAGGTCGTGGGTTCAATCCCCATACTGGCCAGTCACAAAAATATTGTTGTTTGACAGGAAACTGACAAACAATACAAGATTAACACACAAGCTAGTTGCTGGCTAAGAGTGCTTGTCAGGGTTAAAGTGGTTCAAACACTTCATCTTCAGGTGAAATTTTGTCTTTATTTGTGACTCAATAACATGAAGCAATTTACAAAAGTTTTCAGCATATTCTATCCTAAAACTGGTAGTGTAGCGCAGAACAAAATGAAAAAATAAAGCTGCATTAAGCTTTCCATTTCAATCCAACCATAAAGGTAAATAAAGGCAAGTTTTTCTTGTATTTTCATCACGTCTAAATCTTTTCCATTCAAATACAGCTCCTTGTGAATTACGCTTGTACAGGTAACTGAATTTCAACCTGCAATTTAATATCAAAGGGCCACCATGGTGATAAATCCCGATAACCTGTGCTTGGACTTGTAGAATTATATTGATTTTGTGTCAAAACCTTGACCAGCACAACATGAGTAGATTTGTAAAATATAAATTGCTAATTGGTTACATGTCAGCACTGAGGTAAAATGTCTCCAGAAAAGTTCTGTGCTTTTTTTTTCATGGCTCTAAAAAAATGCTGCGCAAGGCCGGTTAGCTCAGTTGGTCAGAGCGTGGTGCTAATAACGCCAAGGTCGTGGGTTCAATCCCCATACTGGCCAGTCACAAACATTGTTGTTTGACAGGAAACTGACAAACAATACAAGATTAACACACAAGCTAGTTGCTGGCTAAGAGTGCTTGTCAGGGTTAAAGTGGTTCAAACACTTCATCTTCAGGTGAAATTTTGTCTTTATTTGTGACTCAATAACTTGAAGCAATTTACAAAAGTTTTCAGCATATTCTATCCTAAAACTGGTAGTGTAGCGCAGAACAAAATGAAAAAATAAAGCTGCATTAAGCTTTCCATTTCAATCCAACCATAAAGGTAAATAAAGGCAAGTTTTTCTTGTATTTTCATCACGTCTAAATCTTTTCCATTCAAATACAGCTCCTTGTGAATTACGCTTGTACAGGTAACTGAATTTCAACCTGCAATTTAATATCAAAGGGCCACCATGGTGATAAATCCCGATAACCTGTGCTTGGACTTGTAGAATTATATTGATTTTGTGTCAAAACCTTGACCAGCACAACATGAGTAGATTTGTAAAATATAAATTTGCTAATTGGTTACATGTCAGCACTGAGGTAAAATGTCTCCAGAAAAGTTCTGTGCTTTTTTTTTTCATGGCTCTAAAAAAATGCTGCGCAAGGCCGGTTTAGCTCAGTTGGTCAGGTAGTGGTGTTGATAATGCCAAGGTCATGGGTTCAATCCCCATACTGGCCAGTCACAAATGTGTTTGTTTGACAGGAAAGTTTCAAACTATACAAGAATAGCACACAAGCCAGTTGCTGGCTATGAGTGCTTGTCAGGGTTAAAGAGGTTCAAATGCTTTTTTCTTCCGGCAAATTTGCATCTTTATTTGTGACTCAATAACATGAAGCAATTTACAAAAGTTTTCAGCATATTCTATCCTAAAACTGGTAGTCTAGCGCAGAACAAAATGAATAAATAACACTTAGAGGAAGTGTTCCACAGGTGAGGAGCAGCAGAGCAGGTTCAAGGAATAGATAAGGCAAGACTAGGATGACCTGGAATGCGTGAAGGTTTAGGGACCCAATATTCAGTCCACTAAATATTTGAGCTCATGCTCACTCAGTATCACCTTGACATGGTTCTTTCGATGGGTGGTCAGATTTAAATTCATGTTTGTCTTAAATGTAGGATTTTGACCTTTTACTGATATCTGCTGCTATTTAAGAGGAACAACAAGTTTATAAACACTGTATCTTTGTAATATCTCTTTTGTCATTTTTAACATGAAACTACCAAAGCATAAGCCAAGGCATGGTGCATTTCAAAAAGAAATACAAAGATAAATAAAACCCAGCAGTCTGCTCAATAGAGCCAGTTTTTCTGTAGGCTTTGTATGTGTAGTCATATGCTATTATCTTTATTAATTGTCTATTAAAAATGACACTTATTTTCTGCTCCAAGTGAACAAGTAGAGTGAGTTTTATGTAATATCAGATGTTATTGTTGAACTGGGTGTGATTTAGACAGGAGCAGAATGACAGGTGCCTGTACTTTCTGTCTTTCCCCAAAGATCAGGGATCTCCTGGTTGTGTCTGCCCTTACAGTGAACTGATAAAATGATTTACTCCACCGCGTGTTCTGATTTGCTACGCGTTTGCACGTAAAAAATGACGCATCCCTTTATTTACGGATTAGAACAACGCGTTTATATACGGCTGATTTTTGACCCTTTTGGTTTGCCATAACCTGCTAACTCACTTGCTTGTGCAATGTATTTTTTGCTAGTGGGTTTTTGGCAGTGATATGCCACCATAGTTAAGAGGAGTTTTTCTATAGGAGATATGGCATTGCTTCTATTTGTGCCTTGCTCCAAATAAACCTTCACATTAGGTGTTGCTGGGTAGGTTATATGTCTTTACTATTTTTTATTTCTGACAGTAAAATATGACATGCGCACAAACTGTTCTCTCTGTCGTCTTTCATTTTACCTGTGCTTCCTTTTCGCCTTAATGACCGCAAACATGGGTCCAAAACGCTGTGCCAATTTGCACCTGACTTTCAAATGTGCTAAATTTAGACCCAAAAACAGGAACTACAATCCATTTCATGTTTGATAAATCACATTAACCATGCAAAATTATGACATATGTACACTCACCGGCCACTTTATTAGGTACACCTTGCTAGTACCGGGTTGGACCCCCTTTTGCCTTCAGAACTGCCTTAATCCTTTGTGACTTAGATTCAACAAGGTACTGGAAACATTCCTCAGAGAGTTTGGTCCATATTGACATGATAGCATCACACAGATGCTATCATGTTGATACAAGACAGGATGGATCCATGCTTTCATGTTGTTGACGCCAAATTCTGACCCTACCATCCGAATGTCGCAGCAGAAATCGAGACTCAGACCAGTCAATGTTTTTCCGATCTTCTATTGTCCAATTTTGGTGAGCCTGTGCACATTGTAGCTTCAGTTTCCTGTTCTTAGCTGACAGGAGTGGCACCCGGTGTGGTCTTCTGCTGCTGTAGCCCATCCGCCTCAGGGTACGACGTGCGTTCAGAGATGCTCTTCTGCATGCCTTGGTTGTTACGAGTGGTTATTTGAGTTACTGTTGCCTTTCTATCAGCTTGAACCAGTCTGGCCATTCTCCTCTGACCTCAACAAGGCATTTACACCAACATAACTGCTACTCACTGGAAATTCCCTTTTTTGGACCAGTCTCTGTAACCTCTAGAGATGGTAGTGCGTGAAAATCCCAGTAGATCAGCAGTTTCTGAAATACTCAGACCAGCCCATCTGGCACCAACAATCATGCCACGTTCAAAGTCACTTAAATCACCTTTCTTCCTCATTCTGAAGCTTGGTTTGAACTGCAGCAGATCCTCTTGACCATGTCTACATGCCTAAATGCATCGAATTGCTGCCATGTGATTGGCTAATTAGAAATTTGCATTAACAAGCAGTTGGACAGTTGTACCTAATAAATTGGCCGGCGAGTGTAAATCCCCCTACTGGTATGTTGCACGTTCTGATAGTCGTTATATATTCTGCATATACATAAAGGCAAACACCATACATGGATTCCGCCTGCTATTCTGCTCATTTGACAGATGCAACCCTTTGTGCACCTGATTAGTAGATCAGCTTTGTATCACGACCAGAGACAGAGAACCCAAATTCAGCCAAACACAAAGTGATAGGTAAAAGGGTTTATTCAGAAACTCAGGATCAGAGAGCAGAAGAGCAGCAGTCAGCTTCCAGGAACCACTGAGAACAGAGAGACTAGTTAGTGGCTAAATAAAACTCAGGATCTGCAAGGAGTTAGATAAAGCCACTAACCTTCTCAGTCTGGTGATGGGGCACAGAATCCAGAGGAAGCGGTCGAGACAGTTAATGAGGAAGCGTCCGACAGACTGAAGTCGGATTACCGACTGATCCAAATCCTCCGGGGAACCAGCTGACGCTGTGACAGGAACACAGAGCTGTGATTGTCCTCTTGACAATAAGTCCAGGCAGACTAGAGAGCCAGGCGGACTCAGGCTGAATAAACCAGTGGCTAGGCTGAGACGTAAATCCAGGGACAGAAACAGGGTCGAATTCCAGGGCTAGAGGCGTCAGACAAGGGGCAGGCAGAGACATAAACCAGAGGCAGAAAACAGAGTCGAAATCCAAAATCCAAGCCGTCAGACGAGGAGCAGGCAAGAGGGAATAATCCGTAAGGCAAGGCAAGGTCATGGAACGAGATCAGTCAGGAAGGTACGCTGGATAACTACTCACAAATGTTTTTGAAAATCTGGCACCGTCTGCAGGTCAGAGGGCTGTATATAACTGCAGTTCCACAGGTGTGTGGCATGACGGTGATTGCGCAGCAGCAGACAGGTGAAGCAGATGAGTTAATTGCATGAGTGAGAGCAGAGCAGGCAGACGGGCCAGAATCATAACACTTTGTGCACGCTATCAGGTTTGCATGTGCTTTATTCACGCAAACATTGGCACATGTCAGATTTTTTCTATACTGATAAGCTGTACTCTGGAGGACTTCTGCCCACTGCATGTCAGCTGCTGACAGGGTGAGGAACGAATCCTTCAAAAAAAAAATACTGGATCCAGATGGTGCTCCACATCACACCACCAAAATCTAATCATCTGTTCCTTATCCTAAGAGGCACTATGTCTGACAATTTTATTCAAACCCTTTTTTTTTGATATTTTACAAACAGACAGACAGCGACAAAAACATAACCTCCTTGGCAGAGGTAACAAACAAATACAGACCAGTGTTTTGGAAGGGCCAGGGACAAAACCATTTTTGCTACTGGAATCATCATGAAGAAGAAAGCTCATCAAAAAGATTAAGGACATATTTGGAGAAAAGCTCCTGATTAAGCACTTTAATGTAGTTGTGATTGTATGACAAATGAGGGGGCAGGGTGTTGGGTGTCTTTAAATCTGTTAAAATGTACTTTATATTTTTGGTTTGTTTACAAGGTTATTTGTAGGTTAAAAATAATTAACGTTTGTTTATTTTAATTTTTTTGCTTTTTAAGTTAGCCAGGAAGAACCATGATTTCCATAAGTCAAGAGAGAGCTACAGGACCAGCATGCACTGTGGTGGGCCTCTGTTTCTTTTTTTACCAGGGCAGGAGAAGAAGCAGGAAACAATAGAGAATGGATCTTTGTTTATTACCTGCCAAAATTGATAAATAAACCATCAGATGCAACTTTAAAGTTTGGACAGTGGACTTCATGCCCGTGTAAAGAGACTCGTCTGGGCTACTGTTATGCACTTTGTGCTGGTGCATCGCTATCACATCTTCAGCTTGTTCAAAATGCTGCTGCCCGTCTTCTTACTGGCATGCAGAGATATGAACACATCTCACCTGTCCTGGCCTCTCTTCATTGGCTCCCTGTGCATCACAGAATACAGCTTATCAATGCTTGAATGGTTTTGCTCCTCTGTACCTCTGGTATCTAATCCAGCCCTACTCCAGTCCCAAAAACTCGGCAAATTTAGAGGAGGAGACAGAGCCTTTTCTTTTATAGTACTGTCTCCTTTAAAAATACATATTTTCTCAATAGCATTTGACCAGCTGTGAGTTGACTCTTCTATTGTATTGTATTGTATTGCATTGTATTGTATGTGTTTTAAATGTCTGTTGGATGTCTTGCTTTATCTATTAAAATTTATTAATTTTAGTATATACAGCACTTTGGCAAACCTTCTGTTTTTAAATGTGCTTTATAAACAAATTGGATTTGGATTTTTGATTTGTGTATCAAATATGCCCACAGTGCATCAGTGGCACTTTGATTTCTGCTGTTGGATGTTTGGTTTGATGAACATTGAAATAACCACTACGCTTTAAACAAACTCTTGTTTTATTAAAACAAAGAAAAGATTTTGAGATTGTCAGACTAATGTAAATATAGCCTCGTATATTGTACAAAATTCAGACAAAGCTAAAAGGCAAAGGCTACTCTTGTATATCAAATGTAAGATCATTAAGTAAATTCTATACAGAAGAAGTGAAACATAGGAGGCATGTCTTTACAGTCCACATCATTTGTGAGGAAAGGTTTAGAGGGGGTTGTCCATCTTCACAGGTGTAATCTATAAAGATAAACCTTAGCAGGGTGACTTTTGTTTTTTTTATTTCTTCACATTTAATGTTAGTTTTGTTAGTTTGAAAGTTTGAAAGTTAGGATTAATTGGAATGTCTGAACCTGACTTGAAATCTGTATG